AATTCTTCTTGCTAAAAATTCGAAAAAGTATGTCTGTTGAAGTGCACAGATCAGAGGACGCCTGTGAAGCTTCCGACAGGACAACAAACGTTAGCTGAGATATCGGCGTTTGAAGGATAGTTACTGTTAGTTGTCAAATTTAAGGTGAATGTTGCTTTAAAAACTGGAAAAAAACTTTTACACATAAACGCTCAGTAATCAGCGGTATGATTCATAGAGCCATTAATATTTGTTCAACTTATTCACTATTACATGAGGAATTGAATATTATTCTCAAAATAGCTAAAAGTAATGGTTACCCTAGTTCTTTTATTGAAATGCTCATTGGGATAAAAATTAGTAAATGGTATAGCAAATCTGATACGTGTGTTGATACGGATACTGATAAGAAAAAGAAAAGATTGTTTATTGAAGTGCCTTTTGTTGAGAATAGTACAAGAATGTTTACAAATGACTTACGGAAGTTTACAGCTGAAATTCGACCAGATTCACAATTAACAATTATTGAAAAGCCTCCAATATCAGTTCAAAATTTCTTTGATTTTAAGGATAAAATACCAAATAACTTGAAGTCTGATGTCATTTATAATGTTAAATGTAAAGGCTGTAGTTCACAGTATATGGGTAAAACTAAACGAGAAGCATGTAGACGACTGTATCAACATGGATTACCCAAAGATACCTATAGTTCTCAATCATCTCAGTCATTATCTAATGTGAATTCATCCTGAATTTCACATTAGATAATGACTGATTAAAAGTCCTCCCCCACACTTAATCGATTATTACTATAGGTATCTTTGGGTAATCCATGTTGATACAGTCGTCTACATTTGCCCATTTCATTTGGAGATTTGCCCATTGTAATTTTTATTAGTAAGTTTTTGCGCATTGAAATTTTACTAAGCAGATATACCCATGCGGTTTTTTTTTGTATAACCCTTAGAAAGATATATGTAAGAGTGCTTATAGACAGAATTGTTTGTTTATTTTTGAATTAGAATCTAATTCAAAAATTAAAAGAATCTCATTTCATTTTTTTGTGTTCTTTTTGGATCAAAAATCTTTTGGCCCATCGGCAAAAACCCTGCCCATTTTGCCAATCGTTTTTTTCCGATACAATAGAAGTTTGCCCATTGGACTAAAAATCCTGGTTACGGCGCTGTTTGAAAATGACTCTATGAAGAGTCGAAACGTCAGATCCTTTTTAATAAAACAGATTTCAGTTAAGTCTATGGCTGCTGTTAATTTAAAAAGGAATATTTTAATCAAATTATTGGCTCTTAATCGATTTAATGCCATAATCTAATTCCAAATGTATACATGACTTAAGAAATTGTTTTACGAATGAAAGAAGGAATGTCACCAAAAACTCTATTAAATCTCCTAACATTCACCTAAAGGAGGGAGCAGTCTCATCAATATATGAACACTATTTGAAGTCGAACGAGAAATGTATATCTGACAACTTTGGTGAAAAACCAATGAAGAGTGGTAATATTTTATTGTTAAATTAAGCTGGTAGATGCAACGAACAGCTCTTTGAACTGAAAATTTTGCATTTTGAACCCGAAATCAATGGATAAGCTATTTATCTTAATTTGATTTCATGTAGAAATAGTCTTTTCTTTTTACAACTGTTGTTACTTTTATTAAACATCAAAATATATAAGTAGAAAAACAATACAGATGAACTTATCAAGCAAAACAGCGTAAAATAATTTAACAAGAAAACTAATCATTATAAGAGTGAAAAAAGAAGCTTATCTTTTTTTGTTTTATCATCACATTATGTGTAAAAATAAATAAATATAAAAAAAAACAACGACAAGAGCCAGTTCGTTAATTCGACAAAATGAGTAAAAGACGATAAATGAAAAGTGTGCTAATTAACAGTGAGCTAGCGTGATTGTTATGGAAAAAGAAAACATTAATAATTTGATGAACGATAAAATACTCTTTTTCATCAAATCGATATTACGGATCATGTTATTTTCTTGAAAATAACGAAAGAACAAACACTAACATTTTTTGGAAAAAGGAAAACAAATTTTTTTTCGCGAAATTTCGATAGATTACTAAAAGATCGATAATTATCCGGAATAAAGATAAATATTACCAAGACACCGGAACAATTTTGGGTAAATATTATACAAAAGGAGTTTGTTTATTTTCGTATATAATTCTCTACTTTTTGCTATTAAAAAACATATCAAATCATTAGAAGAAAGTTATCAAATACCTACAAATATGGGATAAATATGGGAAAGGAAGAATGATTTTTTAAGGTAGAGTTGGCTAAATAAAATATAAATATAGCTTTGAAACAGTTGCCTGACTTATTGAACACAGTAGTCATTTTATGGTATTCTTCTAATCTGACATATTATTAATGGACTGTGCAAGTAAAAACAAATTGTACAAGTAACAATAAGTGTATTCTAAAATAAATCACACATTTTCATTCCTATAGAAAATTCAATAACAGAAAAGTATTTTACACATCAATTAGTACACATTCTTCATTATTAATTATTAAATGATGCGTTGGTGGAAAAAACGGGTTCAACCAGTGAATACCAAATTGTGTTCCAAATACAATTTTTAGAGCACTAATAAATGATTGACGTTTGCCTGTATATTCTTTTTTTAGTGATTCAATGGCCTAGAATAAAATAAAAAAAGAAATTTATTTGACTATATTTTTTAAACTGATCACACTTTTCATACCGTTACATCAGTATAAATCGACCATACTTGTGAACAAAACATAATCATCGTAAATATACCAAAACTCAGACCTTCAAATGCTAGAAAGATTATAAATATAATTGTGGCTGGTGGACTCCAATATTTACAAGCTGAAGATAAGAAAAACAAATAGGAAAAATGTTATAGACATTTGAGGAATATTTTAATATACCTGTCCAGTCGGAGCTGACGCATGTATACAAATGATATATAATCAATATTATTGCGTGTAGAGAGATTAAAAATGTATACAACTAAAATAAAAATAAATATCATACATTTATTACATTACAAATCATATTTTCAATATTTAAACATGAAGTTTTCAGAAAAACTGTTAATACTTCTACGAGAAGAGAAGGATAAAACGATAATCACGTAATTGTAGAATATTTTTTTATGTAATTTATAAGATTTTTAGTTTAAATGACTATATTTCATACCGTAAATAGAATAAAATATTTTTGATTACTGGAACCAACACAATTATTTATAAATACACACTAAAAAATACTAAAAACTATTAGGAAATAAAAAGACATTTTGAAATATCATCAACAACTTACATGATGATCCATTCGTTGTACACACCTTTTACAGACACTTTAATAGAAAAATTGATTTTTAAAAATCATTTATTTAATATTTTACTGAGAAAAAAAATTTTGTTCTTTACCTACAGTGATGGGCGCGATGCGGTTTAATACTAACACACATTGGACATCTGTGAAGAACGGTACCTCGTGCATATTTTAACAGATTTTCTTTCGTGGCATTATTTAGTGTGACGGTGCCCTATGGAAATAAAAAAATTTGATTCGTTTAAAACTAAAAATAAAAAGGCTGACACACTTACCGGATCACTAAACATAGCCCGTAGATGTGACATAACAGCAAATAGGGCAAGAAAGTGAAATAAAATGATATTTCCCCATCTCATTGGACCACTGTACGTGGGAAGAATAACAAATACAACGACAAATTCACCAAATAAAAATAAGAGCCAGGTAGTTATACCGCACGCAATACCAAAGGGATCCTGTTTAAAAACAAAAAAATAACATTTGTGAACCTCATAGTGCAGAAAATCGATTTTTAGTTACTCACGCGAACAAACCAATCTGTACAACTTGCACAGCAATTACATTTACAACATTCGCATCCACAGATACAATCGTCATCATCTAAATGGCTGCCGTCCCAAATGGAACGAGGAACAACATCTTTGACAGTTACACCATTCTCGGTAACTATTTGAGGTGGTGACCTAAAAAAGTCATTAAGTCAGTATTTAGTGAAAGTTAGTATTTAGTGTGTATTCTTTAATGAAGTCTAAAGAACAACTTACGAGTGAGAATTCCAACCGTTAGGATCGCATCTATAACGATGGTGAACAGAAGTATTAATTTCAGTTTCGTCATCAGACATTGATAACAAGCAGGTTTGCCCAAAAAAGACCTGACCACGCAAGTTTAGTTTGTTTGTTCCTATGGTATTATGACATATGGTGCGTTGTTGTTTCTTCCTCTTTCTTTCTTTCTGTTTGGCTCTTAGCAAAGCTTTCATGAATGGCTTCCTTTTGTCCAATCATATAGAATATAAAATGCGTTAAAGCTGTTCAGTAGTAAATTTATTTTACTTAAAAATTTGAGAATCTCAATGCTTTATGCTCTGTAAAATCAGCAAGAAAAGGAAACTATTGTTGTCACAAACCACAGGCTGTTGCTCGGTAACATGACGCTTGATCACCATGATGATATATAGCGAAAAATTGGAAAAACCCTTCCTCAGCTGCAACACACAAGTTTTGGTTTTTGTGAGTATTTTATTTCAATGAGTAAAGACAGACTCATTTTATGACTTAGTTTGTGGAGTCTTCAACTAGAGATACAAAATCGATAGATAAATTATGTAATAGCACCAACTTAGCTACCCTTTCTCATTCGAATAATTCAAGTTTTCTTTCCCATTGTTTTCTATGACAGAAGCAGTGTTTTTAATGATTAGTGGGAAAAGCGAGAGCAAAATGGGTTTCCATTTTGAATAATGATTTTCCATTCTGTTTTCCACGCTGAGAAAAGTATATCCCGCTTTGTTTTCCACTTTACTTTTAAGAATTTCCACTTTATCGTTTTTCCATACTTTCTGCTTCAGAAAACTAACCCATCAATCCGTTTGTTGAACACATGTGAGTGAGAGAACCAGGGTAATTTCTGTGTAGTCCTTTAATTTTCATTACAATACGACACGGCTAGTGTCTGAAGATTAACATCAACATGATATTAGTCAAAAAGGATTTGTTGACTTCTGTCTAAACGTATAAAAGTTTTGTAGCGTTTCTTTTTCTTCACAACTGTTCAACTTATGCTATTCTTTTAGTTAGATTTTGTTTTAGATGAGACATTTAAAATGTTTGTTATTAAATTTGTAATTGATCAGGATGGCGGTCGGTCCACTTAATTGAAAGTGATAAAAGAAATCTTTTTTAGCCGTTATTAGACGAAAATTTCAACTGTTCATATTTTGCTGACTTTACATTTCATAGCAAAATGGAAAATCCCACTTTGACGCTAACAGCACAGTGGAAAGTTCCACTCTAGAAAAAATTCCTGTAAAAACACTGGACAGAAGTGTAGTTGGCATTCCTCGACGTGATTCATCGACTTTTATCTGGAATGTTCTTCTAAACTATTTAAATACTTTAGTCCGTCGACATACAATATAATTTAAAAGTGTGTTTTAGAAATGTGTGATGTTTTTTATTTGTTAGTTTGTATGACCTTTAGATATTCAACAAGACCCTCATTTTGTATACAAGAGCCAATCAGTACTGTGCCTTGCTAATACTGTTTGCGTGAAGAATCCTGTATAGGGCGAATAGCTCCCATTGTTTAACTACATTTTTTTTATATAAGCTTTATTCTGTCAGAATACAAGCGGAAGAATATTCGATTATAGTATTCTAAACTAAAGCTATTAAACACAAAATCAATTTTTGTACGAATAGAGATTCGAACATGTGAACTTAGCTTTGTAGTAAACTACAAAACTAAATTCACCGTTCGGTGTCTATATTCTGTACAACGATTGAAGTTGTGCAATCGACTCGATGTTATCAGTAGTAATTTTTTTGGTATGGTTTTTGTGTTCTGTTTTTACATACTAATCTGACATTTGATCGCTAAGCTGAATAGTTCAAATGTGGTCTTTGAATCCATCAGAGAATGACATCTCGTCATTTTCGTCGATTTAAGCTTTTAAGGAGACCGAAAATCAATTACTTTCCATGTCTTCGAAAAATTTCGAGGAGCACAAGGAAGGATAATGTTGAGAGTTCGAAAAACTAAGATTCTTTAAACCTTTAACGCACCTGCGCTCTATTGAATACTCGAAAAAATTGATCACTTTCAATACTTCTAGCTTAAGTCATTGAAAAAACTTGAAGTTTTATCTACCACGTTAAATTTGAAACTCTGTAACTTAATTTCCGTTCTATTTCAAACGTAAGTTGCTGAAATCTTTGTCCGTCCCTCTCTCTCTTTCTCATTTTTTTAAGCTTTTACATATTACCCACAGAAAAATAAAGCTCGTGTAGAGTCCCGGAAAAGTGCCTTTTCGTATTCAGTACACTGTGTAACCCCGAAGATTTTCTACTTTTCGTGAAACATATTGCCAAAAGTTCAAGAAAAATATTGAAACTAATATTATTTTCCCATGGTAGCTTTCCTTCGTCGTTTTGTTCAAAACATTTTCCTAAACTTTTGACAATACTTCTCGCCAAAAATAAAAAACCTTCTGGGCTATGTAGTGTGCTGAATAGGAAAAAGCACTTTTCCACGACTTTGCATGCACTTAGGTTTTTTCATCCTTTTACTAAAATTGAAATTTGCGCTTATCTACGATTCATTTACAACGCGTTTTGACAGTTGTTTTCTTTCTTCTGTGCTCATATGATAATAATTCTGATCTCTAATTAATTTGTGGGGCACTGTTGTTAATTGAGTGTTCAATGGTTTTCCTAAAAGTCTTTGGAAATATTTTCTCTGGTATTGCACAAAGAGTATTTTAAAAAGGTAAATATTTGAATATTTTCTGTCAAATTTAAGTATATCGATCTTTTAAAATTTTATAAAATATGGACGTCTCAAACAAATTTTAGTAATGAGTAAAGTTATTTACTGAACTTTGTTAATATTCATACAGAATAGAACAACAAAAAAAAGCCCATAGTTTTGCCGCTTCTCTAAACCGATCGTTTTTCTTTTTCAGATTTACTAAGATCAGACTTTCTGTTAGTTGTAAAGAAGTTGTTTATAATGTTCGGTGAAAAGCAGGCTGTAATATTAAAAGGAGAAGAAGAAAATTTGAAACGTATGGAATGAAAAAAAAAGCAGAAACATGCTGATGCGCATTCTACTAACAATTCTATAGATTAGATAATTCTGTAGATGTATGTCTATGATATAAAGGAATGGAATTTTCTTTTTCTTGTTAATTCTACTCAATGCGAGATTTTTCTTCACTAGTAGAGAAAAACAGTCTTGTGCTGAGAAATGTATCTATCTAGTCTATCTGTTCTGTTGTGTGATGTATTTGAGAAAAAAGGGGAAAAAAAGGGAAGTAGGAAAAAAACAGATTTTTCTTTTTTTGACTATCAAACACACATTGGATTTGACAGATGTGAAACGTTAACAATCACAAATAGAAAAAACTCCTCATATGTGTTCATTAATTTTTATTCGTGTGTAGTGTGTTGTTAACTTTAAAAAATATACTCATCAAAAAGTGTACATGCTTGTATAGGCACGTACTTAGCAAAAGAATGTGGGAACAGTAATCAGATGTTGATCTAACTTGCCAAACTAATCGATAAAGAGCAAGTTAATTATTCAAGGTCAGAATTGTTGCCGGTTACATACTGCGATCGTAAAAAATTTTTTAAATTATTTTTGAACAAAAATTAGCTAAGCTATACCAAACTTAGTTATATAATCTATTGATAGGATAATTAAGGATATCTGCCTCTCCTAAAGAATTTTATTAAGAACAAAAGACTTTTTGTCTTTCATTTTTAAGATCACATTAATCAACAAGATATGTCGGGCTTGAGTAGTTACGTCCAGATTCTTTTTCAACTTGTGTAACTTTCTATGATCATTCGAAAGAGGATAATATTAAATATTTTTCAAATGAGTTTTGTCAAGTTGCAAATTCTCGTTCAACCGTGATGAAGAGAAAACTAGAAAAAATTCCTTCGAGTATCTCGAATGCGTATGATTTGTGACTTTTTCATTCATTGCTTTGTTATGCATTATATTAAAGAATCGAATTTATTTTCTTAAGTCAGAACGAGTTTTAGTTATTGGTTACAATATCAATGCACAGTTCATCTAAATCAGAATCACTGAACATGTACAGGACATAGTAGTCATAGTTGGAAGATTTTATTTATCCACATCGGTTCGCGTCTATGAACAGAAGAGAATAGATTCATGTCAATAAATAACTGACATTTATTTAGCGGATCACTTAATCCCTTACCTGGACTTAAATACGATAATAATTGATGCCTAAACAAACAAGTAGCATATAAAAGCTCCCAACAGCATTTCTACCTTCTTTATTGCATTTGCCTTCCTGTTTTTTATCAAAAACTTTTAAGATAGTCTCATTTCTATAGTGTGCTCGAATAACCTTGTCGAAAAAAGTTTTACCAATTTAATTAAATTTAAGTCGCTTAAAAAGCCATATTTTTTACCAATTTAAGTTTTGCTCTTGAAAACTGACCGGTTTTTTAAATCTTAAGCATAATTGTAGTCCAAAAATCAAGCGAGAAAGAGATATTGTATAGGGACTTCATCTTCTGTTCAATAATAATGACAAGAATCATACCTACCTCTCAATAACAAAATTAAGAAAATGAGAATTTGTGAAAAATAAAGAATATATAAATCACCATGAATAATATTCGCAAATTCCTAGATAAAATGCAAGTGTAAACTGACAACAGTCGTGAACATATATTGTCACAATTTTAGATTAAAATAAAGTTCATACAACATCTCAGATGTGAGAACATTTTATTTTTTCAAATAGATACAGCCGTTGAAGCGTTTTCATAGGATTCTTCATTTCGAAAGAAATTTATCGTCCCTTTCAAAAAATGACGTAGAACTTGCCCAATGCTACCTATTTAAATGAGTATTATTTTTAGCCTTAGAGTTTTCTTTTTCTTTTTGAATGGCACGGTTATGTTTTTCAATTAAACTATAAAAAGTAATTTAGAATATTGCTGAATTTGTCTAACGCAGATATTGATTCTTGTGTGTTCTGATTAATGAACGCCATTAGTGTAGAAGAGTGCATTTTTTTAATAAAAAAATTATCTTCAATTTAGAACATCATTTTTTGTGTTTGTTAATCAATATTGAGAAGTTCTAGAATATATGATTTGATGTGGACAATATACTCCTTGTTGAAATTATTAATTATAATTAAATATTTGTTCAGAGAGATTTAGAAGCTAAATTTTCAGACTAAAGGGACATGAAAACATTTTGAAAACTACAGAGTTAGTAGCTCACAAGACTACAAATCTGTAAAAGAAAAAACACTCTTGAGAATCTAAAAGAGTTTAATAAAAATCTAAAGTATCCCTGCATTTAAATCTGCGACTTCTTGATTGTACATGCGGACTTTTGTGTAGGGAAGAAAGATGATTAGTATGGAAAACTTCAATTTTCTTATTGTACACATTCTTTTCTCACAGTCTCGAACATCGTAGTAGTATGACCATTTCACTGAATTTCGTTTCTTCGATATTACTCTGAGTCATTCAACGTAAATCTACTACCGGAATGTGAGTGTATTACCGGTGTTATTGTTTGGATTATAATATTTGAAGGGAACATTATGAAAATTTGAGAAGCATCTTGTTTTATAACCGAAAGTGTGCTCTTTACTCTCCGCTCTGGAATTAATTTGAATCACAAAACTTTCTTTACATTATAATAGAAATATGATAAGCTCAAAATTAAAACTTGCTTTTTTCGGGAATGCTAATATTTAGTTTATAACGCAAAGAAGATAGAGTAATTCAAATTAATTCCAGAGCAGATAGTGAAAAGCAAACTTTCGGTTATAAAACAAGATGCTTTTGAAATCTTCATAATGTTCCCTTCAAATAATTATAACACAAACAATAATAGCTAAAACGGTAATGTACTTAAAGTTCGATAGTAGAGCTACATGGAATAACTTCTTGTGTTCGGAACAATACAAGCAAGGGTCATGAACATATGTAGTAATAAACACGTTGAGATACAGTATTTATTCAAAGAAGAAAGAAAGAATATTTCTGCTTAAATATAAGTAGTTGAACGAAATGATTTTGTGTCAAATGAAGCTGCAATAACTAAAACTAATTCACCCATCAATCTGTTAACACTACTTTTTATGTTGTATACATTCTTATTCTCGAGTAACAATAAAACAATTCTCTTCTTTGTAATGTGTATGCCCGTATTGTATATGTACGTCTGTCTCTTTTTCTCTTTTTTTTTTTTTATTTAAAAAACCAATTGAAACTTGCCAGTTCGTTCTTTTGCATTTATTTTTTTAAATAAAAAAACAATGTTTAGATGTATGATATGGAGAGAGCAGTCAGTCACTTGTTTTGAATTTAATACGGAAAAAAAGGTAATAGAAAAAAAAAAGAGGAAAGAGAATGTGTCTGTGTGAGTGTGTGTGAGTGTGTGTATGTATATGTTCGTTGCGGGAGTTCGTAGGTTCCTCTTCTAATATCATTGTAATAACTATTACATTCGTCTCTTTCACATCATCTCATAGTAATATGTATTAAATTCAAAAACGCCATGGGTTAGTTTCTATGAGTTTTTTTTATTGTCGTTGTAATACTAATAACAATAGCTTTAGAAAAAAGGAAAAAAAAAATCAGTATAATTTGATTATATAAACATCAATGATTATGTATTAAATTTTATGCTTATTAATATAGTACTATACTCAGACAATACTTCACTATTTTTCTTTTTTTTTAGGATTTTGTTTTACATACATGTTACCTATATTTTGCATAATCTTCTGTTTCAATTTCTAATTTGATCATAATCAAATGTCAGTTTAACTCTAAGATTCTCCCTCTCGTCTTCTATAAACCCATTGTAGTGACTGAAATTTGTTTGTCTTATCTTTTATAATTTTTGACTATAATTTTTTTTTTTCCGATATCGAAAATAACTGTTGTTAATCAAATTTTTAGTAAAACTAATATTTACTTTTAAAAAATTCATAAAATAGTATTACATTGAAAAAAGAAATGAAAATTTCTTTTGCAAGATATTTTTTTGTTTTTTTCAACTTCAGATGAATTAACGTATGATCTATATATAATTGATCGTGTGAGTGGTATAAAAAACGTAAAGGAAAATTAATATCTTTTTTGGATAAATCACAAGAAGCGAACGGATACCATTATAATCAATTTATTAATATCTTCTCATGTGTGTGTAACTGTCTTCAGGTATTTTTTTGTTCTTCATTTTTACTTCATATTAATTCTCTCTTACGTAGTTCAATTGAATTTCTTCTCATTTAAGCTACATTTTTGTATTTTTATATTTCTAAACTATTGTGTTTTTCCTTTTCATTTTTTTTTTATATTATGTAGACACACTATCTATTTTTGCTGATAAGAACGAAGAAGTGATGGTTGTTAAAGAAGAAGAAAAAGAATCAGTCTTTTTTTTTTTTTATGAGCAAATAAAGCGTTTTAGTCAAGAATATCTCAAATTGAATGTCATCCATCTACACCTGTACGTGTTGAACGAGGAAAAAAAATATAGAGTTCTTGTTAATGTTTAACTTATTGTTTATTCTATTTATTGATAAGAGTATCTTAGCAAAGACAAAACATACTATAATTGTTTTTAGATAAAACTTGATTATAGAAAGCATACAAATATGAATAATGATCGTTTGCCGGGGCAGTAAGTTACATTAGACTAAATAATAGTTGTGATTATTTTTTATTCAGAAAAAAAATTGTATATTTTTTTATTTATAGGATAGATGATGATGATGACGATATTATTCCAAAAAAATTTGATCAAGATAAACTCACATTAAAAGTAATCAAAAGAGTTATGATTTTTATGGTATAATGTAACTGAAACAAAAATTTTTTTATTTTTTAAATTTTTAGAATCACACAACTAAACGTGATGGAGATATAAGAGTTCATCGAAGACCAGTGCCAACAGATTTGAGTTATCCAGATGTTCCATATGGTAAATTGATCTTATCTTAGAGAACACTAACAATTGAAAATAGTGTATTTTCATTTTTTTGCTTTTTATAGGTTTTGATAACAAAACATTTCATCCCGATGATGTTGAACCCATTCCACGTCTTCCCAGTACTCAACCACTAAGAACTCTCAAAGTAAATTCAAATGAAAAGGTGCGGAATAACGGTAATGTAAGTATAATTATCAATATTTAATAATTCTTTTTCTTCTAAACGTTATTTCATATTTTTTTTTCTTCATCTCACAGAGTCCAAATAACTCCAGACCCACGACGACCACTACAACCGTATCTCGTCCACAATCAACAAATTCTATGAAAACACCGTCCATTCCAGCACAAGTACAAATATTGAGCGGTGTAACTGTTACGGATAGTCTCGATGATGAAGATATTCCATTAACAGGTATTTAGTACTTTTATTTTTATTATGCTACCTATTAGATAAAAACTACTAACATTCATAAATCATGTTTGAAACACTATCAAATGCTTCGATATCCTACAAAAATAATCAATATAACTTTTACTAATAAAACTGATTAATAATATTCTAATTTTGCACGTCTTCTCTTATGGCCCTGCTACTGTAATTAGAATGTTCTCATTGTTATGTTCACTTTTATTTTATGTGAATGAATCTATGCTTTCAGTATTTATTAGATATTGTCTGTTTAATAATTGAGACACAGTTATTCTCCACAGGTCGGCATATATGAAACAAAGTCAGAGACAAACATATCAGAAAGAACTGAATAAGGAGCCATCCGCTCACGCGATTACGTTTCTATGCACGAGAGATAATTCACAGCATTTAGTATATATTCATTGTTCTAAACATCGGCTTATGGAGTTTCCCTAGTATCAGGAAAATTACACAACTTTTACGTTTACTTGAATTATTTTTAATAGCAACAAACTTGTATAACGTGTAAACGATTACAAAACAGTTTCATAGATTCTGAATCATATCACCGACAGAATAGTAAAGTTCATGCAGAATCTCGAAAAAATGCTTTTTCTTATTCAGCACACTCGACGACCCACTCGATTTTCTATTTTTCGGGAGACGTATTCTCAAACGTTTAAAAAAAAATTTGAAACTAATATTATTTTCTCATGAAAATGTTTTTTCGCCATTATGTTCAAAAAATTTTCCATATCTTTTGATAATAGTCCTCAGCCAAAAATAAAGAAGCTTTTCGAGTTATCGAGTGTGCTGAATACGAAAAAGTACTTTTCTGCGACTCGTCATGAACTTTATTTTTTTCTTCACGTTGATATGATTAGTTGTGCAGCGAAAATTAAATTTATTGGCTTAAATGTTATTTTGCTTTATGTTATTGACTTTCTTTCTATTTAGCTGTTTTGGTAGTTGTTTCGTGAATTGGATCTTGCTTTTGTGCACTCTTATCCCTGTGTTTACTCTAAACAAAATATTAGGTCTCGGATTATACTTTTTTCAAATTCCTTTAATCTACCGTGAAGTTATAGCGAAAAGTATAAGTTAAATATAATCGAAACTTTTCTCCTCTGTAGTCAGGGTAAAAAAAGCTTTTCTACAAAGTTCAATGTACAAAAAAATATAAAAGTCTACAAAAAAGAAAAACGACCACGGACTCTTTTATATTGTTCTCATCAATGTTAGCTTTAGCAAACAAAAAGTAACCCATTTGGGCGTTTCATTATGCAGAAATCTTTTCAACCGTGTATGCCGCTAATCGTATTAAAAAGTTGCTAACACGTTTTTCTTTGAAAAAAACAGATTAACCTTGAGATAATTAGTCATATCTGCTTAGGGTTTTTTGATCATGGAAAATCGAATGGACATGCATTGCCTATATAGACCTTTTATTTCCTGAGAATAACAATTTTTGGACAATTTTCTTCTATATGGTTTTCAAAGATGTTAAGTCACATCGCTAAGGGCATTCGAAAGAGAACACTTTGTACTATCAGACCCATGTCATTTTCTCAAAATTGGTGCTTATGACATGATAGACAGTGTTAATCGATCTATAGTTGTACAAAATTATTCTTTTGCACCATCTTCTTTAAATGTCTTCTACGTATTTGTATGTGTGTGTGCTTTACTGCTTTAAAGATGATATCACCACTGCAAAACACCGTTCACTCAAAAAAGCAAATCAACGTCGTCGAGCGTTACAAAATCAAACTTCTACGTTATCTACTTCTTCTTTATCACCACCATCATCACCAACGACAACGACAACAAAAACTTCTTCTACGAGTAATATCAATAATAATAAAAAATATATACGCTGCTTGATTGTTGCTTCTAATAATCATCAAAATAATAATGCTTATACAAGTGAAAATGAAAATATTTATGATAATCACCATTTAGCTAATAATTCTATAACTAACTCAGTTAAATATTTAAATAAACATAAATCTACATTAGGGACGACAAATAATCCACCACTATCATCATCACAACAAAATGGAGCACACAATCGTAAAGAACGTAAAGAACGTCGACGCCGGCATCAAGCCAATGAAGAAAATAGTAAAAGTCAGCAAAATAATAATAATAATAATAATAATAATAATAATAGTAATAATGATGATTTCCATCACCAACGAAATAATGAACAAAATAATCCTTCATACGAATCACTGCTTGTAGGAAATTCGGATTCAGATGGTGAAAAAGAACCGCAACAAGTGAGACCAGTAGATGATGAAAGACAGTCGTTGATGGTAAGTAGAGTATTTATTTTCTGTTCAACTTTTTATAAACAGAAAATCTTTTTGAAAATATTGTATTTACTGATGAATCACATAGAATTAGAATTCATAACTTTCAAAAATTTTATACTGGAACCAAAGATAATCTAGTACACATTTATAGACGTAAAAGTTTTTACTATATTTTATCCATTTTGAAAACATTGAGAGGTTAAGAAGCCGTTTTGCCATGTTGTATAAACCGCTCGAAAACCGTCAGTTAACCGCGGTTATTTCAGCTGAAACCATAGCAACACAACATAAAAACCGATGGTTAAGCACCCAGTTAACCGGAAATAACTGGGCGCTTAACCACCGGTTTTTATGTTGTGTTGCTATGGTTTCAGCTGAAATAACCGCGGTTAACTGACGGTTTTCGAGCGGTTTATACAACATGGGTTTTCTTCCAAAACAAGTATTCCTGAAAATTAAAAGTTCTTATACTAATGTCATTTTATATGTGTGTTTAAAAGGAAAATCCTAGTCCATCAATTGGCTTAGCATTACGTAGTTTATTTGAATTAATTACAGAAGATTTAGATAAATTTGTTTATCAACCAGCGCCAAATGGTTTAGGCGATATTCAATGTCGAATAACGAGAGATAAACGAGGCGTTGAAAAAGGCTTATTTCCAACGTATTATATGCATGCTGAAAGACCAGATGGAAAAAAAGTTTGTAGTTAATAACTCTTAATTTTAAAATGGATTTTAAAAATATTTATTGTCTATTTTTAGTTTTTTATATTAGCCGGTAGAAAACGTCGAAGAAGTGCAACATCAAATTATTTGATATCAACTGATGCTACAGATTTATCGCGTGATGGTGAAAGATTTATAGGAAAATTACGGTAATGGAATGAATATAAAAAAAATTTTCTATCTTAAGGAAAAATAATAAATAAATTTAATATTTACCTAGAGGCAATATGATTGGCACACAATTTACCGTTTATGATCATGGTACTAATCCAAAACGTGGCATACCAGTAGATGAGAGACGACGTGAAGTGGCAGCCATTGTTTATGTATGAAGAATATTTTTTTGAATAAAACGAATTTTATTTTGCAACTAATTATTACTCGACTTTGATTTTTAGGAAACAAATATTTTAGGATTTAAAGGACCGCGTAAGATGACAATTTTAATACCAGGAATGAGTAAAGATCATCATCGTGTCGAAGTTAGACCAAGTACAGAACAAGAAAGTTTATATGAAAGATGGAGACGTAAAGATATGGAAAATATCTTAGAACTCCACAATAAAACACCTGTATGGAATGAAGGTAAAAGAGCGTGTGCACGTTTTCACAACAGTATAGTGTATCCCGAATACATTACTATTACGTTTCAGAAACACAATCCTATGTATTAAATTTTCATGGAAGAGTAACACAAGCATCGGTTAAAAATTTTCAAGTTGTTCATGATGACGATCGTACGTATATCTTCTTTAAAACCATTTTTCCCTCTGGTTTAAATATTTCTCTCTCGCTCTCTCTCTCTCTCTCTCTTTATCAGCATGCCTCCCCAAGCATCTTCTTAATTGAGTTTTCGTATTTAAATACTTATGTAAGAAGAAAAACATGTTATATAGGAAACATAGAACGTTTGAAATAGAGTTTTCCCTATAATTAAAAACTAAGACTTTATTTCAAACTGCAAAAACTTCGATTGAAATTAGTTTTTTTTTGAATAATCTCTGATTTTGCAGCAGATCCTAAGAGTAAGTGACAAAAATTTCACTTTGTGCTGTGTGTGAGTGAATTGAATAAATTATTTTGTGACAGTGGAATTGAGCACTGTTAAATAACGTAAATTGTTATTTTGCGAATGATGTTAAACAACTGAACGGAAGAAAATATGATTCGACTGGGACTCTAACTCAGGAACATGATGTTCCGTTTTAACGCTCTAACCACATGAGCTATCGAATCACAGTCTCATCATATCCTCTCTCGTCTTACGTAAGAATTTTTCTTACGTAACAAGCACCAAGCATGATTTCACGCTTGTTTTTTGTTATTTCAGTCTGTCAACCAATTCTCTGATATTTATTTGTTAAGAATTTCTATTTTTTTTGATTTCAGAAGACTATGTTGTTATGCAATTTGGCCGTGTTTCAGATGATGTATTTACATGTGATTATAAATATCCATTGTATGTGATTGATTTAATCAGCGTTTTTTTCTCTATTTATACACTCTGTTTGAGTAATTTAGGTGTGCTGTTCAAGCATTTGGTGTAGCATTAAGTTCATTTGATGGAAAATTGGCATGTGAATAATTTTAAATGATGATCATACATAGAGATAAAAATATGTTTTTTGTAAATAAACGGTTGATGTTTTCGTTATACAATGAACGTTGTTCTTTTTCACGATAGTGGATCTATTTGTATATTGCCAACATTTGTTTTTAATTACTTTTCATTAAACTAACGTCCAACTATTCAATATAATCTCTCTATTTTTTAGCTAAGATTATTTGATATTGTTTGCTTTGAATTTTAGTGCGATTTGCTTGTTGTACTAATTTCTTAGTGAAGAAATTTTATAGTCTAAGGAAATTTTAGCTTATGTAATATCTGTTATACGCAATAAAAATGATGTTGCTTTCAATTTTGTTGTGTGAAGAATTATTTATGTTTTAATTCACCTATTCTCTTTTTATTTCTATCTATCCAACTATCTCTGTTGTTGTTATTATGTGTAGAGTTTCCATTTGATCTTTTTCTTTTGTTTTTAAAAATTATATATTTTTATGTGTCTTACCTTGTCTCTCTGTCTCTTTCATTTATTTATTTCATTGTGAACCAAAAAACAAACAAATAAATAAAAGCATAATATTTAAGAAATTAATAATGACAACATTTCAATTATTATCTATACAAGTAAAAAATGCCCACTTTTTACAAACTACCTCGGTTAATCCAACTGGATTATGATACTAACAGTCAAAAGCGGACTAGATACAAAATTGGAGTGTGAAACATTCTAAACGATTCAATTCAATCAGTTATATGATGCCGATGATTCGTTCTTGATAATAGTTTAACATCAAATAGTTTGCATACTGTTCAAGCTTTAAATTTGGTTATATTTTTGAAAAATAAAATATTTATATTCTAATATATTTTCATATTTTAGTTTAGAATACATTATTTTTCTCTAAACTACAAATTGATTCTATTTTAATAGATGAACTAACATTAAACAAAAATATTTCTATAGTACTCTCGAGCATAACTTATTTTTAACGCAGTAGACATTAACATATGATGAATGATGATGATGATGATGATGATGATGATGATGATGATGATGGCGATGACGATGACGATGATAGAGTTGATTAAATAGTAGAACATTGAAGAAAAACTATTTATACAATTTTAGGAAAATTGATTTTGATATATTTGATGGATACGACTCAATTATATATTGATAGAATAGAGAATATCGTTCGAAGAAAGGAGTCAGTCGGTAATCAATATATAATAAATTGTGTGAAAAAAAAAGAAGCATTGTTCCATTCGAAGCATTGTCCGCTTTTTTCAGGGAGCGTCTCTCTAATTCAAGATAAAACTTGTCTATTGTATTTGAATCAATGATGAATGTGAATGAACGAAAAAAATAAAGAAAGGTCTTTAGTAGATACATTGTTCTTCGCACCATCAAAGTCATATGGCTCTGTATGTATATATATATATATATATAATATATATATTATATATATATATAGATATATATAAATATAAAGTTCAAAACAATAATACATTTTTTTTTTTTCATTTTCTCTCTCCATTTATCGTGTGAAATTAAGAAAAAAGAGTATATAGTAATGTTTTTTGTTTCTTCTCTCCTAATGTTTCTTGCCTCTATATATCGATAGCTACTATATACTTCTAAGTAGACTACTTAATAGAAATACTTTTTGTTTTTCTCGTTTCTTTCTGCTTTTCTTTGGAAAAACTTGTCCTCGCTTCTTTTGTGTGTATGCGTCTGTTGTGTTTTGCTATTTCGTCTTTAAATATTCAGTTTAATGATAGGTATTTTCTTTTTTTTTTTTCTTCTATCCTTTTAGAAATTTTAACTACCTTTTATCGAAGAAAATTGTACTTTTTTCATATATATTCTCAAGGGAAAAAAAGAAACCATTTTTTTTTTGACGTTCAACATAAACAAAAAAAACCAATTTAATTTCATTTCATTGCTCGTTGTTAATTTGTTTGCTTGCTTATTCCACTAAATACAAAGAATCATTATTTATAATAACAGGCTTTCGAAAAATGATTTCAAAATAATGAGTACTAGACAAAAACAAGCATTAATTGATCAAAAGGCGGTAAGTACAAGACAGTGATTTATCTTTGTTATATTATGAAACAAAAAACTTTTAATGAAAAGATTCCATAATCAATACAGTTTTGTTTTTTTTGTTTTGTTTTTTAACATTGATTTTAATGAACAACGTCTTTCCGCTTTCTCCTGATGTATCACAATATGTTGTTTTATCGTATATTTAGATACTAGTAAAAATATCCTATATGAGTATACAATACTTGAACATCTTCCGCCTCTATTTGATCTTCTATAAAAACTATGAGAACATGTCTTTTTACTCAATTAATCTTTCAAAGAAATGTTTCATCAAAGTTAGTAGTAGACACGAAACAGCAATTCATTTTAGCATGCACATCGAGGTTGACTACATACTCATATACATCTGCCACGAGTCTCGAATGGAAAAATGAGCGTATCATAAAAGATGCATAACCTTCTCCTTTGAATTAGAAATGGTACGATGAAGACATGTAAGAAGATCGCATTAATTCCGATATTTGAACTCGATTTTATTTATGTTAAATAAATTTGCTTTACAATCACTATTTGATTACAGAAACATTCAAGAATTAAAAACTTAATTAAGAATATATACTTAGAACATCACATTTGAGAGAAAAGTTATAGAAGGACAGTCTTGAAAACTGCACGCATAGTAAGAACTAGTTCAAACCTCCAAGGCTCGGACTTTTTTTGTAACTAAATAGTGGGTGTGGAGCAAATTTATCCAGTGGAAATACCCAAGCAAAATACAGATGTGCAGGGCGCTCTTACCCTATCCTATCCTGAAAGGTAAGGCAAAACTAGGGCTGAACAAATAGCTATTTATTAATGTGTATACTACTACTGTCATTCTATTTTTATTGCACCATTCTTTCTAATGGTTAATTTTAGAATTTCTTTTGTCAAAATCTGTATCAAGGATGAAATAAAAGTTTTTAACTAAATCCTTATACCATCGTTTCCTTTCCTTTTTTATTCAAGGAAAAGTGACGCATTATTTGCTCTTTGTTCATCTTACAAAAAAGTAAATGGCATGTATTTATAGCTCGTTAGTATGAAGCAATAATGTTTAACGTATATAAAGAATGATGAAAACGATATTTTTGATAATAAAGTGATGAGGAAAACTCGAGCTGACTATCATCACCATTAATCAATTAACGATTGTATGTTATGTTATATAGAAAATTAAAAGCTTATTTTAGAAGAAAAATAAAGAAAGAAAGTCATTTGTCCTTGCAATTACCCTTGGGAAATTCTACTCACAATTGTATTGTGTTGTGTTGTTTTTTTTTGTTTTTTGGTTATTTATGAAATAATAACTGTTGTGGATTATTACGTGGTCATTTTATATAGTAGATGATCCTCTTTCTGCCTCAACAAATATACTATGCCATTTCAGGAAATTTAAAATAGTCAAGTTTTTTGGTTGCGTGTAACATGCAATCAACAAATTTTCAAATGTGATTAAAATAAATTACAATAAAATGTTCATTTATTGAAATACATACAAACAAGACAAGAAAAATATAAGAGAGAGACAAAAGAAAAAAAAATCAGAATCTAAAGTCCGTTGCATGTATAGCAGACAAACGTACATTTATAACGAGTAAATATGGCAATATTTGTTAATTTTTTATTTTATTTGTTATAGTCACCATTGGATATATTAGAAGAAGCTGATCGTTTATTATATCTATCATCGAGTTCATATACGAGATCTATTTCTCGTACAAATGTTGGACAAGAACAGTGTGAAACAAGATCAATTAATAGTCCCAAACGTATCGATTTTATTCTTGTATATAATCGGTCATTTAAAAAAGTTGAAAATGATAAAAAAACACAATATAGAACAGCTTTTCAACAAAAACTCATGGATGTTGGATTTGACGTCGAAGTACAAGATATTATTGGCAATGTAGGAAAATATCTAGAAAAAAATCAAAGAAGAATTTTAAAACAAATTTTAACTATAATTTCTCTCTTTTTTTTCTATTTCTATTTAGGATAATATTTGTACGGAAAATGGTAGTGGTGGTAGTACTAGTTTTTTACCATCAAAACGTCGTACAAAAAAACATCAAAAATTAAAAAATCTTCAATATGGTAAACGTTTTGTTAAAATTCATGCACCATTTGAATTATTATTAGAATTAGCTGATAAAACAAAAATGAAATTACCAATTGAAGTTAGTTATTATTTATTAAGTAAAATAATTTTATTTTATCTTATTTAATTATTTTAATTTAGGAAAATCGAAATCCATCAGTATCAAAATTACCATTTGATTATTTTATATCATGGTTAAAATTTTCACATGTTGATAAAACAATATTTCCACCACGAAAACAATATTTTCTTGCTGAATATGATAAAACATTAAGATACAGATTTGAACATTTATTTGATACAATAGCCGATGTACGTGAAAATTATTTTACACCAGCACAACGAAGTCGACTTGTGTACGATTTTTTATTAAGATGTCCATTTGAACAAGAAAATAGTCAAGGTAAATAACATTGCTGTATTTGTATCTAGAATATAAAAAAAGAAAAGAAAAATATCATTATATATAATAAATTCTAGAATCTTTTGAAGAAGTACAAATAAATACAACAGAAAAACGTTTACTAGAAATAGAAAAAATTTTTACTGGTAGTTCAATGAGATCAGGTATAATTTGTATTAGATGAATTTAAAATAATAATAATAATAATAATAATAAAAATAATAATAATAATAATAAAATCAATGTATCTAGGCATCGAAGTATTGTTACGTGATGAAGTATATGAAGACGCCTATCCTTTACATGCTGTAAGTTGCTGGTATTCCATTGTAACTAGAAAAAGAAAAATCGAGAAAATATTTCATTATTTTAGCCATTAATAAGACGTATCAAACATTATATGATACCAAAACATATTCTTATACAATCAAAATATACTCGAACGTTTGATCGAATGGTAATAATTCTTGATTTCAAATATTTTATTCTATTCTATAACGTCTATCTTATCGATGTTTGCCAAAAAATAGAAGTTAAACTGGTATTGGAGTAATCTACGCAATCTATTCAAGGATCAGCCAATAGAGGATATTAGAGACTATTATGGTGAACATGTTGCTCTCTATTTCGCTTGGCTTCGATGGTATATGAACATAAAATAAATAATTAGACTATAGTTAGAACAAATCATTTTTTTGTTTCTCTCTGTTATTAACAGGTATATATTAATGTTACTTTTACCATGTGTACTTGGATTGTCAGTGTTCTTATATGGACTTTATGCAGTACAATATGATAAACCAACGTGAGTATATCGTACAATTATTCTGTTAATATCTAACATTTTATACACATAACATACGGTGCAAAAGTCATGGAAATGATGTCAAAGTCTGTTAAACCGTATTGCCGATTTCTAAACCAATTAAACTTGTTTTTGTTGGAAAGAGCAAAGTCTGAACTACAAGTTTTGTGCCAGACATATTTTTCCAGAACAAATCTGAGAAGGAGGAAAAGTCCAAAACCAAACACCTCTGAAAAAGTCCTTGCAACGTTTTTACAACTTGAAAAGTTTGTATTTCTGAATTATTTCGAGCTCCATGTATCAAACTTGAACAAAAACTACACCAAAATGTAGCAGATCAAAAACTCTATCGATATCAACATTGGTAAAAGTTTTAGATCCGTTCTTCGCTCTTTAATCAAAAACGTTTTAAACATGAATTTTTTAGTAAAATCGAGTCTTTTGCAAAACTAGCAGTTTGCAAGAAAATCAGCCATCATCTTCAGAAATTATGCATGAACTGAATTCTTTCTGCGTTATTTGTTAGAAATATGTTCGATCGTAGAAATTTTGCAAAAAAACTAATTCAAAGAAAATTTTTTATCGGTGCAAAACGGCCAGGTAGTAAGAACGGTCAACTTATTTAGTCTCTTTCAGAAAAAGCGATATTTTGGTACAAAAATCAAGAGTAAATTTAACTTCCAATCTACCATTGGAAAGAGCATTCTTTATGCTACAAAAACCATCATTTAACGTGTTTTCTCATTTCTCTTCTGATAAAAAAAACTAATAAAAAAATAGAAAATAACGTTGCCCCATAGCGAAGTTGCAAGGACTTTTTCAGAGGTGTTTTGTTTTTGACTTTTCCTCCTTCTCAGATTTGTTCTGGAAAAATATGTCTGGCACAAAACTTGTAGTTCAGACTTTGCTCTTTCCAACAAAAACAAGTTTGATTGGTTTAGAAATCGGCAATACGGTTTAACAGACTTTGACATCATTTCCATGACTTTTGCACCGTATGTTACATAGATTATCAACTTTTTCGTGAGTAGTGTATACGAGCCCAATTGTGATTTTACCACAAGGTTTTTCTACAGATTATAAACGATAGTTCGAAAGTAAAACTATACAAACTATCTGTAATCTATACGATAAAACTGAATACAATATGAATTAAATTATCGTACTAAATCGGGCATGCTTTATTTAAACATACTTATGATACTGATGATGTTTTTCTCTATTTAGACGAGATATTTGTGATACACTGGCCAACACTATCATGTGTCCTCGTCTTGATAGAAATTCATATTGGAAACTTGGAGAAAATTGTATCTATGCAAAAGTAATTTAATTTACGAGATCATGTAATTTAGTTCTTTATTAGAACACACGTATACTCTTGAGAAACTTTTCCAAATGAATTCCCAAGGAACTGCGAAAAGAATAGGAAGTTTAATCTATATAGTAGAAAAAACAATGATTTTTTTAAATATCTCTTGCTTGTTACATACACAAATCTAGTTAATTAACGAAGGCTGAGCGCCTTTTCAAACCGACGAAAAACTATCTAGTGCCTAGACAAAACACTGCCATAATATACTCTATATTATGCCGTAAGAGTTTTCGATCTTGTCCTATCTGATGGTGCCGTTGGATTTGTTTTATTTTGACTTGACAGTGGATTTCTTGAAAATCGAGTTTTTGAGCATAGGGCTTTCGAAAATACTGAAACTAAAAATATTTACCGTTATCATTTAATTTTTTAAACAAGATCATTCGACAGAGTTCACTAAAATTCCACAGACAATTACAATACAGACAAACAGTTTTTGTTTTGAAAAAACTCAAAACTTGAAGGTTTTCCAAGGATTTTTGGTTGAAAACCGAGGGCTCTTAGAAGATCTTCTATGATGGCTAAAATACAAAGTTCTAAAAAGTTCATTATTTCATTATTAGGTAGTAGACAGCATGCACTTAAAACGTATACCGTTGTGAGTTCTGAACCCAAATCCGAGATGGTTTTTCAGAGGTATTTAAGAAAATCATCAATCCAAAAATAGAAGACAAAGAAAACATTTAGATTTAACACTTACAAGAGATAGTCCCACCACTTTACTGACGCAGATCTGAGACCCACAACTTGTACAGGGACTCGTTTTCCGGAAAGCTTCTTACTTTCTTCCTGTGGCATGCAGGAGTGCTGGAACATGGAAACATAGCTTATCGACCCTCCTGATCATCATGGTGATGTCTGTTTTCTTTCTGACCATGTACTTAGTGTGGCTGATAACCCTTCGTTTCCCATTTGAGGATCCAAAAATCGATTTTATGACACAACCTAACTTTCTGTTTGACGATGAAACAGATAACGGCAAATATGTTTAATTTCAATATTTCTGAAAGTCCTGTTCTGAAAAATTCGGTTTTCGAGAAGTCCACTGTCAAGTAAGAATCAACCAGATCCAATGGCGCTATCAGATAGGACAAGATCGAAAACCCTTAAGATCTAGAGGATATGTCGCTTTGTCCATTACGTACGTGGATAGTATATATTAGAAAGACACTCATTGGTCTTAGTTTTCTACTGAAGGCAATTGCGGTTTTGTAAATTCATGTGAGATAAACTCAAGTTTAGATCATCAATCTATACTAATAAAATTTTTCGTTTAGATGGCCTATTTGTTTGATAATAAAATAACTGTTTGTTATGCAGCAGTAATGACAGTTTGGTCAGCATTGTATTTATCAGCATGGGATATTAGTGAATATCAGTTACAATATGAATGGGATACATTCAATTTAACTGAAGACAAACCGTTAACAAATGAACCGAGACCGGATTTCAAACGAAAAGTTCGAACTACACGCATTAATCCAGTAACAGGGGTAATAATGATAATGAGTCCGGAGAAACATGCTCATGTGTGTGGTACGTTTATACATAAATAAAATATGCTTTTAGGTTGTTGAACTTCATTTACCAGCAAAAGAGAGATGTTACAAATTAATATCGTCATTTTCGATAGTTTCAATGATGGTACGTCATGAATTCATTATAACCATCTTTATTACAAATTTTATATATATTCTACTATTTTAGATTTGTCTTGTTCTAAGTTTTGTTTTTGGTGTTGTTTTATATCGAATAAGTATGAAAGCGGCCATTCGTTCAACGCCGAATGAATTTGTTAAACGTTATTCGCCACATATTGTATCAATAACTGGTGCTCTCATTAATCTTGTTGTTATTATCGCTCTGAGTTCACTCTATGAAAAAATTGCTATATGGCTTACTGACTATGGTAACATATTCTTGCTTTTAATTATTTTTAACAATCAGTCTTTTTTTTCTTAGAAATTCATCGTACAGAAAAAGACTATGAAAATGCATTGACATTAAAAATGTTTCTATTTCAATTTGTCAATTTTTATGCAAGCATTTTCTACATTGCGTTTATAAAACCATGGTAAGATTAAAATCATATATATAAATATCGATTGTTCACTACTACTGATTGATTCTATTACAGGTTTGCAAATCCTCCTGGTGCGAAAACTTACAGAATTGGAAAGTATAAGACCGAAGAGGTAATTATATATCTGAGGGCTCTCTACGATGGTATTAAAGCATCGAAAGAATTGCTTAATTGCAATTTTATTTATCATGTTTAATAACACAAACTGTCTGATTAAAGTTTCGAAAAAATTTTGGATTGAGTTCCACTGGATTATATGGAGCTCTATTTTAAGAATATAAATGAATATCTAACAATTATAATCTGTCTATATCTAGTGTGAAGCATCAGGATGTCTTGCTGAACTTTCAATTCAGTTAATGATCATAATGGTAGGCAAACAAGTCATCAATAATTTGTTTGAAGTAGGCATGGTGTAAGCAAATTTTAGCTTTTAATGATGATCAAACATGTTTAATTAGTTTTTTTTAAGTAAGTTTTGGAATTATTTTCGCAAGACTTTGTTACATCGAACTGCCTTTAAACAAATGAGATATAGACGAGATCATACAATTCATTTGTATAGTAAACGACCACATGAGGAAGATTATATGTTAGAAAAATGGTCAACTACAACACTTTTCTACGAATATCTTGAATTAAGTATGTAAAGTTTTCATGTAACAAATATGTTTATAGAAAAATAAAGAAAGAAAAATGACTGTTCAACAACAATTAAATAAATCATATATGTATAATATATGGACAGTGAATGTATTAAAACATAATGTTTCACAGAAAATAGTTAAATTCTTTACGATGACTTATTTTAGTAATTCAATATGGTTTTGTAACAATGTTCTTAGTAGCATTTCCATGTAAGAGTATTGCTGCCGCTATTAATATTTTCTTAAATTTTCTTTCTCTTCTTTTTCAGTGGCTCCTCTATGTGCATTTTTAAATAATATTATTGAAATTCGAATTGATGCGCATAAATTTGTTAACGATGTTCGACGACCGGTAGCAAAAAAAGTAGCTGACATTGGAATTTGGCGTTTGATCATTGCAGCAATATCAAAACTGGCAATATTAACAAATGTAAATATATATATAACATATTTTCTAATCTTTGAAATTTTACTTTTCTTTGCTTTTTCTATACAGGGCCTTTTAATTGCTCTGACAAGTGATTTTATTCCACGTTTTGTTTATCAATATTATCGAAGTCCAAATAAAACACTTACAAATTATGTTAATTTTTCATTATCAATTTTTGATACATCACACTACAAAGATGAAAGTATTATTCATGATATTCAAAAACACAATTATACATATTGTTTGTAAGTAGAATAACGTGATACAATTTCATGATTATTATCATCATCTTTATTTTTCATTAGTTATAAAGATCATCGAAATCCACCGTGGCATTTACATCCATACGAAATAAATCATGATTATTATGTTATTATGGTTGCACGATTAACATTTCTTGTCACATTTGAGGTATAGAGGCAATATTATTGTATCTTTTTGGCGAAACTCCGATGTCTATTTCATAAACGGAGAGTGTAAATTTAGAGAGAAATACAAACGAAGGATAATGAAACTTTAACTCCCTATCACCCACACGCATACAACATGCTACATTTGTGACGTACGCACAATTTTCTCTTCATTATGTAGCTAAAGTTTATAGTAAAAATACGTAGACAACATGGTTATCTACATTATGAAGTTAGGTGTGAAAGCATACAAAAGCCTTTATATCTGTACACATCGGAGATTCTTCTCTAGAATGAAACGGGTGTATGTTGAACAATTCACATGTTATTGTTTTTTATAGCACATTGTATTTATATGTTTGAAATTGGGTGAAGTTATTTTACCATTATTATCCAAAAGTGTTAAACAACAAATTGAACGAAAAAAATTTATTGTACAAAAAATGCATTGGGGTGAGTAGGAACAAATGAATACTAGTATAAGTACTATCACATTTCATTTTTAAAATACTTCTAGGTGCTCGTTTATATGAAAAAAATCCAGAACTAATTAAACGTGATTTAAAAAATATGTACGTCGATACACAATCGAATGATAAAAATGCTGTTGTTCATCATTTATGTGAACAAAACCATCAGTATCAAACTAATTGTCATCATGATGTTAAAAGTAATGATATGGAACTTATCTATAATTTAAAAATACCTAAAATAAATTCTCATACATTATTTATACCCCAACGTCGTAACATTCGTTCTCACAGTGATCCTTTTAAAGTCAATGATGATTATCCGTCTCTATTGCCATCATCAACAATAACAACAACAACAACAACAACAACAACAAAAAAGACCAATTCTCGAGAATATTTTCCTATGACAAAATGTAAAACAAATTTTAAGAAATCAAATAGTCGATACATGTCATTACCACCCGAACCTTCAGCTCTCGGTGAAGAAAATGATGGTGCCAGATATATAAAACCAAGAACAATGAGTGAATTAAAAAGTGATTTAGCTATTGCAATAAATAAAATATCAGAAAATATAATTGATCTTGGAATATCGTAGGAAAATGTGCTTTTTTTCTCTCTTTGTGATACACACTTGTTAAATTTGTTTTTTTATAGTTTATTATTTTGTTTCACACAAGTCTAATAAAATAAAGAAATTAATAATTAAACGACGTTTTAGTTGTGTTGTATAATGATAATTAAAATATAGATAAGAGAGAAAAACGTTAGCAACAAAATCAAAGCACAAAATTAGATGGGGTGACAATATTAACAGCGTGATATTGTAAAATAGTTCGTCACTGTTTGTTGACTAGTCATTTGAGTCGAACTATGATTACACTACAGTGCTAATCTCGATTAAATTAGTTGTACATAAAGTTGATTGCGATAAGTAATTTTATGATGTAGTTGGGTTTAATCGAAGTTAAGAATGCAGAGTGACCACGCTAATCGCGATTAAAAGTTAGATCATAATTATGAACAGCAAATTAATATTCAAATACCATTTTCATTTTTTTGTCAGTAATGTAAAAGTGATTACTCTACTGAACAGTATTAAACACAGAAAAGTAGTTACTCGCAAAACAGAACAAAGTCAGGAAAATATCGCTATTCAACTTATGATATACTGTTGTTCTTTTTTCCAATATTGAATTGTTTAACAAAAACCAAGAGATCTGTTTTACAACATTAGAGAAACAAATAGATTTTTGAAACTGATGTTCAAAAATTAGATGATGATCTAAGTTTGTTCAGTATGCATAAAGTTAATTACACTGCTATTGTATAAAAGTAATTCCCTAAACGTCGACACAATTTTCTTCTAGCAGGATTTATAAACTAACAGTGCACTAACTGACTTGTCCATGTGGACTATAATAACTATAGTAAACTCTCCCCTTTCTTATGTGGGGATAATCAAAGAATAATGTAATGTGGTCCCTAGGCCGCGATTTTAATATTTGTACTGTTCTTCTCTTTCTTCTTACTAAATAAAGTTTCTATCAACTATAGTCAATTTCCTTCGACTCTGCACATCATCTAACTATAAACTATGGAAACGAATTAAAATTAATAAGTAATTGAATGTACTCAGTTATCGAAATACAGAAAGCGCAATTATACACAATACATGGCTTATCCCCAGTTTTAAATGGCACTATTCCAATCATGTAAAAAACATAAGAAAATACCCAAAACAGATGAACCAACAATAGCTGTGTAAAGTTTTCTGTGAACTATACTACTATTCTTCTACTCATGTATAAGCAAAAGGTTAATTATATAAAAAAAGTGTCGACAATTAAGGAATGGTCCGTAGCCTTTGATCCAAGTGTATCGGGTTTTCAGGAAAAATAATGTGTCGACAAGTACAGAAAAAAAAGCCTGTCGACAAATCGGGATTAAAAAGTGTGTCGACCATTTAGGAAAAAAACAGCGTCGACAATTAAGGACAATTAAGGGCTTGTCGATAAATCGACAATAGACCAATCCCAAGAACCAGTTCATTTTTTTTGAGTAAAATATTTGATTAATTAACGAAGGACAACAGGTCTCGTAATCTGCAGAATGATTATCAACAGTTATCTGAGAATATGTCCGAGGCCGAAAAGGTGATCCCTTGCTTATTATGCAATTTTAAAAGTCGTAAATCGTCCATCTCTTTTCTGTCAGAAAAAAATTATGCGTGCTATAATCGTCTTCGATGCTATTTTATTAACAAAACGTGATGAACCATATCATCTAATCTGTTCTCTCTCTTGTTCTTTGCGTAACTTTTACAACCTGATTGAGTCTTCGAAAACCATCTAAGTTCAAGATTAACAGTATCTTACATCGCTACATATTTTTTGTGCACCCGTATATTCGTACATCGTTCTAAAGTAAAAAGTATAGAAACCATATATACACACGTTATTTTGACGTAAAAGCATGTGTCTATCTATATAATGTACAAAAGAATTTCGAAAGACAAAAAAATAGAATGAAAAGAGTACCTCGTTTTATGATACGAAATTTTCTAACCACGAAGCATTTACTCTCTTCCCCAATATTAATCAAAATTAAAGAAACCTATCATGCAACACAATGTAAGTGAATAGTAAGACATGTTTTATAATAAATTAAAATGACATTTTTTATTATGTTTTAGAATAACTATATTTTGAATGGACAAATGTTGGATTTTATAAAGAAGTCGTGTGAAAGTTTATATTCAAAAGAATCGGATATACATCGACAAATTCAGCAGTTATTAAATGTAAGTCACTTCGAATCTTCTACAAAATCTTCCCGTAAATTACAAAGAGATTTAGGTAGAGTAAGAGCTATCAGCTGCAGGTTACCGAAGTTTAACACCGACCATCAGAGTAAATAGTGTCCTAGCTTTGCTTTTTACTGTTTACTACAAAATTATGAGTAATATACTTTGTTTTCCAAAGCTTTTACTCCGAAATCAGCTAACAATCAGCTAACATTTCTACTGTACTCTCATTTCAGAACACTTCCCTCTTAGAAGGTTATGAAGTAGAAATACGAAAAAAAAATTCTCAAATTTGCTCTGAATTTTTAAAAAACTCTTCTCTTTCGCAGTTCTTGGTACCGCTGAAGTCTATGTGATGAATCTATCCGTATTCGTCCAAACTTGATGTTCTTTCGATAGTTTAAATCTTAAAATACTATAATATATTTATTTCTACGTGTATTCTGAAGAATAAAACCCAAATTAAGTTTAAATGACAGCAGCAGCAGCAGGATGTTTTATGTCTCTCATGTATTTCACCGACGCAGATTGTCTTACATTTTCACGGAGAACTAGAATTAAATTCTATAATCTGGAATGAAGGAGTTTCAGTTTCTATGGTAGATCTATACTGATAACTTTTTGTTCCTTGCTGTTTCTTCATCTCTTAAAACGTGTGAAAAAATGAATGATGATGCATCTAAGTGTGACCAGTCCATCAGATCATTTGGACTATTAGAAATGATTGTTTTATAACGAGACGTTACATAACTACGACGAAATATATCAAGAGAGAAAACTAGCACTCTCCCTAAGACTTTTTAATCTTTCATACATGATTTAGGGGTCTATATATGTTTCAGGTAATTCGTGATTTTCAGTATCATGTCGACACAATTCGTGGTGTAATAGTATCGCAGAGTACTTACGATTCGAATGTTCAAATAGACGATGGGTTTTTAGATGACACGAATAGTTCCACATTTGTTAATCATGATTCATCTCAAGTATTGATGGAATCTCAAAAAGATCAATCAGCACTAGGTCGAACATCAAATTTAAATGATGCCATAATCAAATTATCTTCGCCTTCATCAGTCGTATCACCTGTATCAAAAATCACGGGAGAACACACTACCGATATGTCAAATATTGTTGATTCATTAATTCTAAATTTATCGCATGTAATGTCTAACACATGGTCATTAATAAAATCAGATGTTACATATGATGCTAAAGATGTGAACGAATTAATTGATGCTTTATATTTGGATAATAGAATAATTATGAAAAAAGTGAATGCTTGGGAAGAAAATTGTGAACTGAATCAACCATCGCGACCATCACCAACTACAAATATAAACGATATGTTAAAATCTGTTGTTGAAACAATTGAAACAATTTGTCAGTATTTTGATGTTGAACAACGCCATCTCAATGATAAACATCAACAATATGACGATAAACGAGAGACAATCGAAATATTTGTGAATAAATTACATGAAAAATGTCAGTTATCAAAACCTATATTTTTAAAGGAAATTGATTTGTTAACATTAGAAAATGAATGTTTGATGAAACAAAATGAATCGGTTGAAACAATTACACAACAAGTTAAAACATTCTTACATTCAAATTAAAAATACACATCGTTTTTTTTTAACTTTTTTATTTTCATTTTTAACTTCTTTTTTGAAAAATATATTTATAAACCTAGGGCGACAATTTAGGATAATCAGCAATTAAAATAGCCCAATTTACGTTTCTGTTCGTTTATTTTTAGATTTTCTATGATTTAGTCATCGTCTAAATGCAATAAGTCTTATAACGAACAGAAATAGTCCAAATTTAAATTGTTCTGACTTTATTCAAGCGCAAACATAAACAATTTTCAAAGGTTAGTTATTTTACTTATTACGACATCATCCACGAAAGAAGGTGATGATTGTTGCATTGAAAATTAGTCCTAAAATTAAATTTTCTTAGAAATTAGTCCTATTTTTCTTTAAATCCGTACAGGATGAACAAAGGCAGAATAGGTTTAAAGCTTAGATATGATGAAAAATTTTAAATTTTTAAACGCTTTCTTCCTCTTACGTATGCCAAATGAAAATCCTGTTAAAGTATTGAGCGAACCTGACGAATTTAGTAACGAGTAAGACACTGATCCTGCCTTCCTACGTTACTGTCAGGTAGTCTGATGGGAAAAGACAATAAAAAAATGCAAAAAAGATCATCTTGTTAGAACGTTTAGTATATGAGCCTTTCTTTAGTGATTTAAAAGTCCATTAATGGATATGGCAGAAGAAATGATCCTCTCAACATTTCTTCTTATATCTTTGTGTTTCTAATAGCTCTTCGAATTGTTTTTTGTTTTAAGCTTTATTGTTCTAGAATACATGCGGAAATAAATCCATTATAGAATTTTAAAATATAAACTATCGAAAGAAACACAAAATGAATTTTGTATATGCACAGGCTCGGACACAAGAAGTTCGATTTATAGTATACTACAAAACTAAATCCACTGTCAATTATTTTTCTCTTTTAAAGATCCACAAATAATTGTTGTCATTCACGGACTCACAGTTGATTTTTTCAAGGAAAAAGTTGATCGCTTTGTTGACGCTTTGAAGATTGCATTCAGAGGAAATAAATTTGAATAGACAGGAACTTTATCTAATATAGTTGCTTTGTAGAGAGTTTTATGGCGAATCTTTCAAAAAAGAACTGTTAGAGACGTAAGATAAATGAAAAATACTGAGAGTCATTTCTTCTGCTGCATCTGTTGTACATGTCTAAAGACTCTCATATGGACACTCGACACATTCGACGTACTGTATACTTCAGTTGTTAAATAATGTGTCAGGTTTCAACTTCTACTATGTACATAGAGTCAAATCATTTATTATTAAAGTAACAGGACCTTCTTTTGTCAATTAATCTACATATATGCCACAAACCGTCCGCCAGATTCGTTCGACTTCTGATCAAGATATGCGTTTTCTCTTCGGTATTTCTTCATCAAATTGTGAACAGCCCCAAAACATCATGTACATTTACACTGACATATAAAAGTTCAGTTACTTTAACATTTAGATAATTTGCGTTTATGCATATGATACTAGTTCAAACTAAAACTTGATACGGGAGCTCGAGAATCTATATCTAAAAAGAATTGTACTGGGGATACAGTGCAAGCTTTTATTGAATTTTTTCTCCATTATCCATGCATGTGATCTATATCTTCATCCGTCCAGTAACCTTGAAATTTAAATCAATAATGTGCTTATGTAGGGCAATGTTTCCTAAATATTTCAAGTCAAAACAATATTTCTTAATCGACTTATGGCAATTTTTTTTGAGAATGGTCTAGAAAGTTAGAAATGTCTATCGTATATAGATAACTGATAATTATCACTACATTTTGGTACACAAATAAAGCATTACTTAGTTCAGAAGTTTAGAGATAGGAAATGTACAGATAAGATATCTCAGTAAGCGATGAGTCAGGCACTCATGCTGAACTTGATGGACGATCACCATATTGTTCGAGCTAATAACATACAAAATTTCAAATTAATTGTCAGTAAGTTTCTTCAGATACTGACTGGTCGCATATTTTCGTCTACTATTATCATATGCAGAAAAGAAATCAAAAGTCAATATTAGAAGAATTTAAAGGCAAAAATTTATAACAAAATTTGAGTACTAGTGCAGTCGTTGTAATTTTCATTTTGTTTGCTAATTTTCAATCTTAGTGGTCATCATCACACATACATTACATAATTAACAAATAAAATGGAATTTCCAACGACTGTTCTAATATCAAATTTAAATTAAAATAAGATTATTAATTAACAGAATATGTCGATTAATCTAAGAGAAGTCAGAATAGCTAGGAAACTCTTTTGGGGCCATAAAATTCAATATTATTCTGTTACACTGTGCCTATCACAGTATTTATCTATCAGGTTATCAAACTCTCTGCTACATTTCATAACTGTAAATATGACAGTAAGATGGTTTTGATGAATTGTGTTGTGACAGGTTTTCAAGTTAAGATCTATATAACATAAGTATTCTTGATTTCTTCTCAATTACTCTATTGTATTAGAAACATTGTTAAGATGCTGAATATCTATCAGTTGTCATCTGCCATGCATATAGAGAGAAACTTCAATTTCTTTTTCATTTCTGCGCTTGGACAAAAAAATATATATATTCATTATTCTCGTTCAGCCTTAATAACTACTATATGTGTGTTGACCTCTCTCCTTGCAGAACTGAACAACCATGAACACGTACACATACTTTAGAAAAGATTGCATAATAGTAAAATTCTTGATTCCGTTTATATCAGTACATTCCAGAATAGTAATCTTTTATCCTTTATAACGCACAACGAAATTGTATTTATCTTATGGAAAAGTTCATCTGTATTGTTATTTAAAAAATTAAATAGTTTTTTGTGTAATGTATAAGGTTAGGTCGTAGGAAGTGTGTATGTGTGTGTACTCAATTCAAATATGAGCATTCTGCTGTCATATGTGTTCAAGTACAATACGATAGAGATAAGAAGAAGGAAAAAAAAGAGTTTTTTTTCGCTATTAGATATAGTAAATGTGTTACGTAATTTACCTACATTATATAATATTGAGTTGGCCCTTTAACAACAAAAAGAAGAAGGACTCTCATACCACATATAATCGTAAAAAAAAGGAGAAATACGAACGAAACAAATAAAAAGCAGTCATTTTTGTGGTATAAAGACGTAGGACAAACGAGTGGTGTGTGTGTGTGTGGTGACGTTGGCAGAGAACACTGAGTGTTCCTCAAAACTGTTATTTGAATGGGAATGTGTTTAAGATTATCTACACGCGTTCCGATGGACAAAAGTAAGTAGTAGTTGAACACATACTTTCAAAGTACCTCTGTAAAATTGAAAAATCAGAATCACCATTTTTTGTGTACTGAACAACGTACTCATTATATATCATTATTTGTTCAATAATCTTTGATTTAATAAATGCTATCAGACGTACTTCATATGGAATGATTCCGAATCGGGATTCTATCTTATATTAGCATTATATTGTGCATTATAAAAGTTTCTGTTACGTGCAACTACAAATAGCAACTCTTCCATATCTATTAATGTTCGCAAACAATTGTTAATAAGGTGACAGACGTTCAAATTTTGATTTTATTCCGCTGTTTTGTTAATAAAAAAAGAGATATTGTATATAGCACGATGAGTTTACAAACTTCTGTTTGTATTGTTGATTTGATGTGGCATGTATATATATTCTTATTTAATTTATATAAATTTAGAATCCACAAATATTTTATCATCACATTATATAGCCCTTATTATTGCTGTCCGATCAAACATTTGAAATTTTATCCGGACAGATGTCGTCAACTGTTGCAGTTATGTTTCGAAGCGTTCATCAACTTATAATCTGATACAGGACAACTACAAATAACATTTTTAACTTGATCATTAACACTTAAAATTGTTTAAAATCCACTTAACGATAATCTCATATTTCAGAGAACTATCGTCGTTAATAAAATAAATATTGAAAATAACAGTATATGATGAGTAATCTCTTTTTTTCTTAATTTTAATATGTTTTGACTTTTTTTTCTTTTGATTTTCTTTCATCCACGAGGCATATAAAACAGTGAATTGATTGTAAAATATGTACAAAAACAAACATGTAAAACATCTGTATTTAATACATATGTAGGATATACACTATTAAATAAATGTGTAAAATGTTAACCGTGTATTACCAGATAGAAGAATCAAATTGAATTAACAACGTCAGCTAAAACTTAAAATACCTTTTTTTCAGGCGTGGATATAAATACTAGAATACACACATCTAAATATCATGTTCGTAGAATACTTTGTTTACAACTAAATCGATACATGTTACCATAAACAGATCAAATATGTTTATTTAAGGACTAAATGAATTTTGAATAGTTGATAAATTATTTATTGAATTAATTGTGAATGTGTAATGCGTAGCTAAACAAAACAAATTATCTACGAATTAATACGGATACCTTGTCCAGTGATACTTATTTTTTATTTATTTGTTTCCATAGATCTTTTCCGTATAAAACTACAGAAAACGGATCTCAAGAGAACCATCATGAGTTATCAATTGAATACATAATGATAGTGTAAAATTGTGATATGGATCAAGTTACTCCTGTACTAAAGTGTAATTAGAATGGAAAAGAACATGATTATAGAATAATTTGAATGGAACATAACTTTAGTTTATTTTAAAGATTGTTCATTCAGAAGAAAGATGCACAAAAAATTCATTCCTATATTGATCATTATGTTTTTTTCCAGCAGAGATTTGAAGAAGGTAAATCACTATAATTTTGCTCAATGTTTTTACACAAATAAGAAAACTATGTTAGAGAAGAACAAGGTAAAACAGAACAAAAAACTGAATATATATTAAAATATCTGAGAAGAACAAGAAAAATACTTATTTAGAAAAAATTGAAGTGAAGAATCCAAAAAAGGAAAGAAGACAAATTTTATGTATTGTTTTTAAAGGTGTTTTTAGTTTTTTTTTATTATTGGTTCATCACATCACTGGGAATAAGAAAAGAAAAATATGATATAAAAAATCCACGAAAGTATGTACGACAAGACAACAATATAATAATTATTATTTATGATGAAAATTTTGGTGGCGAGCCAACTGGTGGGGAATCGTTGGAAGACGCTGTTAATGGAGATTGTGGTTGTAAACCGGAACCACGTCTCGGCCGATCAGCATCTTCCATTGACATTGCCCGACTCAAACGTCCTAAACCCACCAGACTTGTTTCCATCGGAAGACCACTTAATAATCCAATGCCTTGTAAGAAAAATTGCATTGATTTTGCCAATACATCAGGCTAAAAGAATAGGAAAACAAAAAACATGCTGTATCGATCGATAAATAAAGAAGATCTAGATTCACTTACCGCTTCGCCTAAAACATCACCGACATTATCCACAATAAGAAGTGGACTATTTACCATATGTTTAGGATCACGAGTTTCTTTTAATCGATCATAGAATTTTTGTGTTGTACTTAATACAGATGATCTTTTACCAACAGCTACTAAACAATCGACTCTACAAAAAAGAAATGAAGAGAAAGACATATTTACAACAAGAATTCAATTCACAAGATAATTAACGTACGTTAATTTTTCTAATTTATCAATTAAATTTGTTCGACTATAGAGATAAAATAATTTAAAATTTGATCTGTATTTAATAAAAATATGACATTACATACTTAAGAAATGCATCCATAAATACTGCCAAATTTTTTGGATTACGTTTTCCATACAATTTTTCAGAAAATTCACGTATATTTGCTTCTAATAATTGACTATCACCATAGCCCTAAAATAAAGATAAAAAGTGTAAGTGTTATCTATTCTATGTTAATAGAACTATTATGTATATAAACGACCATGCAGTACAGTATTATGATTATTTTCTAATCATGCAGCCTACCTAGAGACTTTAATTTTTCTAGATAAATTTTGTTATGCTATCGGAGTATGAAATTGTCTGTACTTTGATAGTAGTTCGAAAGGTAGTAAATTCATAATAATAACTCGATACCGAAGACTTCCGATACTTTCGACATTTTATGTTTGCTTACATCATTTCTTTCAACTTTCTCTTAGAAAATGCAACATACAAATAATTATTTTTTTTTCATACTTTTCTACAGTTAAAAGTAGTAGCAATAAATATAATGTAAAACTAATCATCAAAAGCAGGACGAATTATTTCTCATAAGTAAAAAAATGTCGGTACTGACAATTCCCTACTTAGAGAAGTTAAAATATAACAAATAGTGATATAAGGTATGCAAACATAAACAAAAAATAAGCATTATTGTTCTAGTTTAAATTTATTTTGACAAATTTTCATTTTATAAATGTATTTTAATATAAAATATGCATCTTGTAAAAGGCATATTTCAATGAGGAAAATAGTAGTTAATGCTCAATTTTCTAAACTATGCACACTCAATACAAACATGCATTAAATGTATATGTCTTTGATCTAAGTGTTCAGATTATAATCGCACACATTGCTATTGATTAAAAATCTGATCACACTAAGTATTCTTAATATAGCAAAAAAAAAACAAAAAACATCTATCTACATAATGTAGTATAAGTATTCCTTAAAAATATATTTAGTTGTATTTACTGAAGCCTTTATCTTGATTTGACCATCATTTGATAAATTAGGTAACTGAAAAAATGGGAACAATAAGAGAATAACTAATAATTAAAAGCATTTGATTGGTAAAAGATGTTCTTCTATAAAAGCGCCTAACTATTACGTTCTATATGCTAGTGAAACTATCTTGAATCACGTTCACTTTTTCAACAAACTGTTTGCAGTAGAAAGCGTGACGATCAAATAAGAGCTGAAGCATATATATCAAGAATATCGGAAAATAAAAAATTATTTTTTCATTACCTTGGCTGCATCCTGAAAATAATAAAAAAACAAAAATTTGATATTGATTATTTTTCCATTTTTATAATATATTTAATGTCTTACTCGTCCAAATCGATGCCATATTAAATAAGCTAAAAAATTTAGATAATAAACAACATGGATATTAAATAAATAAAATTAAATAAACATTCTCACCTTCGGCATCAGCGTTCATTCCTTTGTGAATAAGTTTCCAATTTGTTATCTACAGCAAATTATACTTATTAAAATCAAAACCAAAATTTAAAAACATTGTATTACTTTATCTTTCATTGTTTCCATGAAACCGGCTGTTGACGCTGTAGGATGTACACAAATGACACCATGTACTCTGGACGGATATTCCATTGCGAATCGTATTGCAACATTTGCACCAGCACCTTTTAAAGACAATTTTAAGTCAGATAGATATTAAATTTCATGTGTACATACCTTCACCAAAAATGACTAATTGTTGAATATTTAAATGATCAACAACGTTGATTAATTCTGCTCCAAGATCATCCAATGATGGATATTTTCTAGAATATAGTCATACTAATAATATTAAAAGTATATTTTTTATTCACAAACTTACTCAATAGTTAAATCACTGGCATCATCTTCTTGACCAGGCAAATCAACATGTACCCAAACAACCCGTTGTTTTAAACCACGCATTTCCGGTTGAGAAACATACTCGGTAAAAACTGAATCTAAAAATTACTGTAAAAAAGTGACAACTAAATATTTGAAACGATTTGATACACATACGATTGCATCCAATATCGTGAATTGTCATTATGTGACATTTTGAGCCTGTAACAGACGTATCGTCCTATTAAATGACAAAACAAAACAATTAAAATACATTTGTTCTATTATTTAGACTATAAAATTTACCTGTACAAAAGCTGTATAATCTACATGTAATTTATCGGATCGTATAACGTATTTCTAAAAAAAAAGTCCTATTAATATCTGTACGAAAAAAAAGGATGTAGAAACTACGTCAATATTAGCTTCTCTTAAAAATAGACAGATCGAATTTATCGGTATGGTGCGAACGTTCGACTTAATCTTCTATATTTAATTTTTGAAAAATAAATTTTGTGTTCATCATGCAATTAGTTAGTAGTCAATTACTCAGTAGTCAATTACTCATGCCTTTCTAAAGAAAAAAATATTCTATTAAACGAGTAAGTGTCATGAAATCCGAATTTATTAAAATCCTTTTTTAACTCATTCAAAAACTATTCACCCAGAATCCAACATGTCCGGATGAATGATTTGCCGGACATATTGCAATCTGTATGACTTATTTCCGGATAAATTTCCCACGATCAACTCTAGTTTCTTAAAAAACCTCTCAAGTCTGGAAAAAAAGTTCTGAATGAGTTGTCACTTGTAATAAAAAGCAACGCAAGTCCGCATGTCATAGAGTATTATGGTAATACTAGTAGTTTCATTATTAAAATACATTTGAAGTTGGTTTCATTCAGAAGGCATGTCCACACATAGTAGAGTATCATTCTGTGATGTCGATCGACTCGTATAGTTACTTAAAACTGAAATTTAGTGCAACTTCGGTTCCATTACAATAAAATTTAACGGTGTGGAAGAAGATTCACTGAAGAAGATAAACAAACACGCACATTTCATACACAATGTTAATAGATCTTTCCCCAATTTTTATTGTCAATATATAACGGGTGGCGCATAAAGAATGATCCTTTCAGTATTTATGCAATACCTCTTTCAATTCTCGTCTTCTAAGACGGAATTATTTTTTCAAAAGATTCGCCTTTAAATTAAAAAAAGTTATACCAGTTAAAACAAATATATCTGAACAGAAAACTACCTTATTGCTAACGAAATAAATTGCTTTTTTCTTCT